ATATAGCCAAACCCATTATAAACAAAAATATTAAACATTTTGAATGAAACTCATTTTAATTTAACATAATAATAATTTACATTATTTATATTTATAATATTAACATTTTAAAATATATAAGTTTAATACAATACATTTTATTTATGTTTAACAATTTAACTACGCGTTTCTTAAATTCTTGAAATAATAAATACCTATTAAATATACCTATATAACAAATTTAATATATTTACTAGGGCTGTAATAATAATAGATACTATGAGAAAGAAATTATTTGTTTCCACTGTTAATTATTTGGTATTAATCGATTATTCTGGTATTTGTGGTATTTGGTATTAGGTACTGCGATATGGTAGTTATGATTGTATATTTCTCTACTTTTGTACATAGTAGTAGAATTATCTTAGTATAATATGCTATAAATTGAAAAAGATAGCTGATTATTATGATATTTTGATTTATATATGTGATTTATGATATATATGGTAATTTAGTCTATTTGGGGTGGATCGAGAAGGTCGTAGTAAAAATGTAGGATAGTCAGCACAACTATCGGTAAGTATACGTACAAGTTGAAATTATTGTAGTGTATTTACTTATAACTTTTACTAGGTAATACAAAAAAATATAATATTTTTCATAAATATACTCAAAGTTGGACAAGTTAATGAAAATAATTATTTAGTTTAAGATAAATAAACATCAACATCTGATGTTGAAAGCTAAAAGTTAACTTCAATGAATTGAATAAGTTAGGTAAGTGAAAATTTGTTCGTTAGAAATGATTTATTTCTAACGAAAAACGATTCTGAGCGAAATTCATGATATGAAAGGCGGTAATATTTACGTTTTTGTCAAAATTTAGTCATAAAAAACAAAAAAAACAAAAATTACTACATTACATTTTTACCTTTATGCACATTGCACAACTTATAATGAACCTCCTGTTAAATTTCCAAGCATTTATTTTGGTGTTTGGTCAAACAATTATATCTACAAAATTTGATTTAAAATGCTACAAAAAAGGTTTCTTGGCAATTTGATTACAGATATGAATTAAATAACTTTATGTATCCTACCTTCCCAACTTCCCATTTATTACAGTGACGCATCTATCAACAGTTCAGCTTCTTTAAATTGTGTACTTTTTTTTTGTGCCCGTAAGCAACTTTTCTACCGAAAATCTTGTACCGATGTATCAAATGTAGTACCTTTTCTGAAAGGGAATGTTTTGAAGTTGGGGAGGTCATTTTGTATTTTCCAAGGGATTTTCAAAATAAATGAGGAAAACAGGAATCAAAATTATAAGGTTAAAGGGCGAATATTTACGGCACACCACGAATGTTTTAATCAAAAAATGCTTGGTTCCTTTTTTGTTTAATTTTGGATCATGATGCTCATGAAGTTCTTAAATAATTAGGAAAACGTTTTTAGTTAAATTTTCAATCTAGTTGATAAGTAATTAATTAGTTTTTTGAATAAAATTGTTTAACAGTAGGTTCATTATGTGTTATACTTGATGGTAAAAAAAAACAAGTTGAGTGTAATGTGGTATTTTATTTATTTTTTATAAGAGTTTTAATTTAAAATTTTGATGAAAACCGTAAATATTACGGTCCTTTCAAAACATCTATAACTGAACTTTTTTTTATTAATAACTTGTAATTTGTACTTTTATAAAATGCAATCCTTGTCGTCATGTTAAAGAAATAAAGAAAATTGTATTCAATTTTTCTTACATAAATATGGAAAATTGATATTAACATATTATATATAATTTTAGCCAAATAAAATATACTGTAATTTTAAACACTAATAGTGATCATTTTCTGAAGAGGTATTTATGTACCTAATCACATTGATCTAAAAGCGATTTAACGAATTATTAGACATAGCTATTTTATTCTAAAGCAGAAGTTCCCAAACTTTTTTTTACGCGTATTTATCGTTAAAATGACAACGCACGCGTTTTTTACTTAATAAATCTCGTTGACGCCTATTTACATTTCAAGGGTCCTCAATTTTCGTTATTGATAACATGGGCCCCTTTGGGAACCTCTGATTTAAAATAATAAAGGCTATTAGACACAGTTATACAATTGAACGAAATTCACAAAATACGAATTAGACATTACAAAACACTGTGGAACACAAAAAGTTCCTATGGTAAAATAAACTGTCAACCATTATAATAAAACGTACGACTTATTAGTTTCCCCAAATAGAAAATGTCACCTAATTATATTATAGTTATGTCTGTGTTATGACTTTTGAAATTCAATAATTTTCCGTTGGCCACGTAGAATGTAAAAATTAAAACCATATTATTAATCATAATTGCACATGATAACGCAATGAAAACGTAAGCCGCCTGTTATCCGTTACCCATTTGCTCTATATATTTTGATGTTGTAATGTATAAATATAATATATAACACCGAACGAAAACCGACGGTTTAACTTTGATGTAAAAACGTACGACACAATGAATCATTCAGTGAAATTTAGCAAATATCGTTTTCCGTTTCAATGGATGGAACTGAAAATCGTATACTTAGACGTATAAAAACCGGATTCGCCTCAAGAAATACCAAACAGTCAACTGCCTTACGCGTTTTAATATAACGTTTATAACATTATAAAATGTATTCTTACTCGCGTTTAGATTTATTGCACATTGTTTCCGGAGTTGTATAGTTCGCCATCGTATTTCCGGTTAAAATGAACAGTTATATAATAATTGTTCGATTGTTTGATTTTTTTTTTTTTTTATTTTTAATAACAATATCATATTATATTAAAAGTATCATTTGTTTTCGCGTAAAGGTTTCAGCGTTTTTCTTAAACGATTTGTCTTTAAGACATCTACGCATAAAACACCATGTAGCTATAATGTAGCCTGCCCATCCAATGATGTAATAAATAACGAATACAACTGTAGGTATATGAAAATAGAGAAATTTTAGAAAATCACTATGAAATCCCACGATATTTTTGCAACAAACTCTTATACGAGATCAAATTATCATACAAAGTGGTAAAAAATAAAAATCGCTAGTATTCGTGTAGATATTGTAGTATTAAATTACAGTAGGTATAACATATTATATAAATTGTAAACCATACCTATAGTTGGTATACCTATCTATTAGTTTGTAATACTTAAATAATATTACAATAATACTTAAATCGGTTTAAAAAAATTATTTTGAATATAAAAATCATTCATGACAGTGGCGTGATAAATTCAACAGTTTGAAAGGTAAATATTTTTGTAGATCATGCACCCATAGACCCCACCCTATACTCAACACAGCTAAAAAAGATCCCGATCTTTAAATTTTTTTTTTAAAGGCCATAGGCACAAAGAAGTATGAATCGTATTCCCTTTTCATATCTATTCACGAAATTCCGACCGAAAATGTGTAAAATGTTCACGTCCCACTGTCTCAGCCAAAAACGATCTCTCACAGTCGTATCATAAATTGTTTTAGCTTTGGCCTATTAAAACTGTCTGATGGTTTGAACAGTGTTTACACTGGACTATGTTTTTGTGTGACTTATCGACAGGGCTCTGAATTTATATCACTAAAAGTGTTAATATTTAGCGCTTTAATGTGCTCCTCCAAAAACATCAAGATTGTTATAAATAACACTGAAAGTTGAAAAATATGCAAATATTTTAATAATATTTTGCAAAATAGTCAAAACATTTTTTTTTTTTATTTATATATATGTTTTGTTTTTATTAATCAATTTTCAGTTAATTTTTTTTATTGAATGGTAAAACTTTATTGTGCACGTTTACTAGAGTACTCAGTTAATAAAACGATGATATCTCCATGTCTCAGGTAAATACAACGAATTCGATAATTGCAGTACGATGCGACCAACACGATTTAAAAATAACAAAATTATTGGAAACGAACGACATTGTTCGATGTTATAGGCAATATCAATGGAACATTACCGTCTTTTTGTAATGCGTTTGGTCGTAGTATTTTAAAATCAAAAAAGTTCGCATATTTATTTCTATACGGTTGTGTGGTCGGAAATATTTTTTTTTTTTTTAAAATACATTATACTGCTTTATTAGAGTTATTTGGTTTTCTTCAACAGTATGTGTTCATAAAGTATGTATTATATGAACAATTCAAATGTACCTAAAGACTGTATTTAAAACTATGAATTATCTAAATAGCCCTATGAGTTCTAAATTCGCAAACAAAATAGCCAAACAAAATGTCGTACGTTGCGTCAGTGAACTATACGAAACAAATGAAACAAAGTTGTTTCCTACCGAAAATAATGTTCTAGGTGTCACTAAAAATAATACGCAAATGCTATTACATCCGAGCAATTTTATCACTGTTTTCGGTAACCAATATTATTTACAATTATTTTCAAATCCGTCCAACGATTTTGTCAAATAACCGTGCACCCACATGCATCCCGTCGTCCGGAAATTTCAGAGACAAAATTGCTTTTCAAACAAGGCGTTCGATACGCCACTGATTCAGCACACACCTACTTATATTACTTACAGCAGATTATCGATGTTAGAGGTTTCAACACACGAGAGGACGACATATTCGCATGTACTGAATAAAATTAACACCGTTAATAATCCGTAACGCACATATTATATTTGTTCAATTCATTGTGCAAATAACAATTAATTACATTGAGTACGGGCAATTTAAAAGACTTTATACAAATACCATTATATACTATTAATATTGCAATACTGTCTTTGTAGAACACACATATGTATAAACCGATTGTTGTTGGCATCGATGTTAACGATTCGGTTTCGAAATGATCATTATTGGAAGAAGATCGGATAAATATGAAAGGAAAATGCGGTTAATTGTTCTTCGATGATAATAGCCTCCGTGAGTGTATGGGTACATAGAAAAATGTCGCTTTTAAGTGTTTAAGCAATCTTTTAACATCGCTGTTGTTATGCGGCGATATTGTGACAATAAACGGAAGATTAAATAATTTGATAATCGTATCAAGACTTCCAACAGTGTATAAAAGACAACCGATCCATCTCAATGTGAAGTACAAACTCATCAGCTTTCGACTAGTTCGGTGGTTCTTTTGAAATTTCTTCGTATATACCTACGCTAACAACAACATCATGAAATCTTTAGTAAGTAAACTGTTTAGTTAATATTATGAACGTACACGATTATATTATGTTCCTCAATTTGAATTATATTTCTTTAAAATTTATCAATACATCAAATATGTAATTATAATATGGATACGAAACAACATTATTTTTAGAATTAAAATTGACATATTTATTTAGGAAAATTTCTAAATCGGCAAAATTACGAGGAATCTTATATAAAACCGTTGAATGGGAAATCGTAATAAATTTTATTCGCGTGAAACAAAAAAAAAAAAAAATCGAAAATGTCATTATCTATAAATAATTTTAAAAGTCGTCAGAATGTTTTAAAAATCACTCGTCTAGACGCGGTATTTTGATATTAATATTCGATGAAAATTGTAGGTTTTTATGATCAGTGGTATGAATGGTATTACAAATAAAAAAAAAATTCTGTTCAAAAACTGTTTTGTTCCATAAATGTTACCGTTTCTCCGATAAAAAAAAAAAAAACAAAAAACACACCTTAAATAAAACTAGTATAACTTCTCTGTCAAGCCAAGAATATTGAAAATAAATACAATTCTTAAATAGCATCGTTTTTCAAACATTTTTAGAGTGGCGACCCCCCCATTTTTTGATTTTTCAAGGGGTTTCCGACGTAATTGGGAAAAACCGGAAAGAAAATTTTAGGTAAAATATACCGACAAATATTCACGGCGCGCCGCGATATTGACGATTTTATTGGTTTTAATTTTTACAAACTATGTTTTCTACCAGAAAATATTGCTTTAATCGAAATGTGCTAAGACAACTTTTTTTTATTAAACTTTGGATCTAAATGCTATTAACATTTAATTATTTCTGACTAATGCAACCTTCAGGTTGAAAAACGTTACCTTATAGCTATATTATCATCTTTAATCATATTTTAACCTATAGAAATAACAGGTATTAGGTACTTAATAAAAATTAAAGTTTCTAAATGTTTTATCGGTAAATTAATTCAAATATATTTATTTTTAATACGACAAACATCAAAAATGAATTCATTATTATCTTTTATCACTCAATAAGAACAAGTTTATCCTTAACCAAACTGTACATGAATCATAATAGAAAAAAATTGCTTAAATTCCTTTCCTCCCCAAAAAACCTGTATTAGTACTTTTTAAAAGTAAAATGTTTTAATTCATAAATGGTAATATTATAGTTTTAACGTGTATAAAACTATCGCATATTGTTTGATAATTTTTAATATTAACAAAAATAAAACAAAAATGTAAAAATACACAATAATAAAATAATCAAGTAAAAACAAAATTATTAAAATAATTAATACTCTTAATAAATATAGTAAATAAATACATAAATAAAAAATGTATGTATAAAAATAAAAAATAAATAAATGAATGAATTCGTCGCCTAGAGTATTATAAGTGTAATATACGAGTTTTCCAAAGAAAATGTGAAAAACCGAGAAAAACGTAGGAAAATCGAAACAACATTAAACAATTATTATTAAATAAAATGTATAAAGCCAATTCAATTATTTTACTATAAAATGACATATTATATATTGTTGACAAAGCATAACTATCAACTGAATTCCGCTCAGAATCGTTGTTTCGCAAGTAATGGTTTATCGTTGCTTACAGATATACATTAAATTCCCGTTTGTATTCTACCTTCCCAACTTTCCCCCTCCCGGTCGCGTACGAATTGCGTCCCGATATAAAAATTGCGATTTGCGTCCCGATTATCTGATATACCTTTGATAATCTCAATCAATAATCGATACGACTATATGAATATTTATGAATTGAATGTAATTGGTTAGTCTGTCTTTCGATTCCGTCTCGTTGAGAATTGTGCACTGTTCTATTTCTTTTTAAACATACGAGTTTAATTGTGAGTGAAGTTACGATTAGTGAACAAAATAAAAATTGATTTTTGTAAACGATTTTAAATTTTGTTTAGATTATCAACAGGTTGTTATTCTAGACCTATACGCCAAATTAAATTTTCTTTATTTTGATATAAAGTATAAAGTCATGTATTACTATAGAAATCAAGTAAAATTTAGAATGTATTCCTATACATAATAATGTAAAGAAATTAGTATTTTTATCACGTAAAATTTAACATTACGTTTATGATTTAACACGTTGGACCAGAACAACATTAAAAAAACAGTATACAACTGTAAAGGTCGTGTAAGTCTTGTAAACATTATGTTCTGTTTTTTGGCTTCGTAATATGGTATTTCATTCGCCCTTAATTTGTTATAATTTATAGACGATCGTACTGATAATCGTGTGCGTGGTCACGGCCGACGAAAATAGCAAAGCCAAACCGGAAAAGCGTCAGAGCGCTTCGTACAGCAGTGGCGTTTTACCGCCCGCACAGGGACTGCAGCCGACGCCCGCAGCAGTCGTGCCCAACACCGTGCCGGTTTCCTCCTACCAACCGAACTACTTGCCCACGTGTGTGGTACAACCGATTTACCCCAGTCCGTCGGTGCCCGCTTACCAACCTTCTGTCCCGTACGTTTTACCCTCGGAACCGCAGTACGTACCGCAGTACCAACCGCAATATCCGCAGTACCAACCGCAATATCCGCAGTACCAACCGCAACAATATCCGGACGCGTACCAACCGCAGCAATATCCGGCCCCGTATCAGCCGCAGCCGTATCCGGCCGGCTATCAACCGTCGCAGTATCCGGCCGCGTATCGCGCGCAACAATATCCGGTCGCGTACCAACCGCCGCAGCAATCGCAGATCGCGACCCCGTATTCGTACAGTTACTTCGTATCGGCGGCCAACAACGCCGACAAAGCCAACGACAACAACATCAACAACGCGCCGGCGTCCGCCAAGAAGTGATGAGTTTACAAAAACATGGCGAACGCGCAGTGCACATTCATGCACTTGTATTCATACATTACATACATACATACATACATATAGTTATACAATAAATATTATTATTATGGACGTGGAAACGAAATGAATAAAGGCAAACCGTTTTTAAGAGTATCGAAAATGTTTTGTTTATTGATAAGCGCGTGATAATATAATATTATAATACTTTAGTACTAATACTAGTAAATTTGATAATAATATCGTAATTGACGATTATTAACAACGCGACATTGACAACGGACAAATATTATATGATAACAATGTGACGTCGATGACGACATAAATACCATACATCGGATGATATTATATGCGGTTGACAGCGCTGTTGGTTGCTCTCTGATGCCCGACGATCAGTAGAGTGACGGATAGTACGGGGCCTTGTAGATTGGCGCGTGGTAGGGCAGAGGGGCGGCATAGGAGAGTGGTGCGTGGTAGGGGAGGGGAGCGTGGTAAGAGACAGGGGCGTGATATGGGAGAGGAGCGTGGTAGGAGAGGGGAGCGTGGTAGGACAGAGGGTACGAGTACGGAGCGTGGTATTTCAGTGGCGAGGCGAAGGAAGTCGGGTAGGTGAGCGGTGCATGGTACGCGGGGACCGCGGGTAATCCGTATCCAAGTCCGTAGACGTTACGCTTTTCCGTTGTCTTGGCGTCTTGCGGCTTGGCTTCTTCGGCGATTGCGCACGCGGCCACGGCCAACAGCAAAACGGTAGCTACGAACTGAAAACATAAAAACGTCTATATGAGCACGATGACCATAATGTACGTTTAAACAACCAAAATGTAAACTTACGACGGTGAAACCCTAAGTCATCGCATAAGACTCTGAAACAAATTATTCACCCCGAGAAAACGTCGGCGATGTGCCGCGTGTCTATTTTTAACGTGCAAAAGAGACGACGATTCGGGTGGCATTCGACTTATAGTTTTCTCCGGCAAATAATATATTATATTTGATCGAGTTTTATGTCGGGTGTGTAGTGTAAAACGCTTTATGACGGAAATGATGGAACGATTTCTAATGTACATAGAGGTACTCGAAATATACAACGTTTTGAAAATCCGAGATGAAACACTACTCGATTATTTAGTTTGCCATCGGCATGACATCGAAAGTTTTAAATCGATCATTCCAAAAGAACTCGTATAAAAAATGTAATTCTATGCAAAGACGTTTTAAAAACTAAATGTGATGCGACGTATTTTATTGTACGTCGTCAAAATCGAACAGATTTATAAAGTGTAAACGAATGTGCCTATGTATAATAAATATAATATAAAAAAAATACTCACGGATTTCATGGCGATTGTTATCGTTTTGTTAAAACTTGGATGAGAGACAAGATTGTATTGTGCTTGCTGAAGAAGCTGATTGATGTGTGATCTGTTCCAAACAAGAGCCGTGCGTTTTATACTCGAATAAAACTGGATCATCGGTGCCGGTCAAAGTAGCCGCCCCTGTGCTTAATACCCAAACGGGCTATAGTGGTCAGTAAACTTGTTTCCATATAAACGCCTAAATGAATAAATTTTTGTCCTTTTTAACCGTTGGCACGCGAATTAGGTATACGTTTCATAAATTGTATAATACAATCCTATTATACCCGTACAAATCTAACCGTCAATGATATTTTCCAAAAATCGTGTTAAATATTGTATTTGAATATCAAGCGTACGTAGTTTGAGCACTGCTGAAGCAAAGCGACCGATATTAAAACTTGCATAGCATTATAGTTCGCGTGTGTAAAAAAAAAAAAAAATAAAAATAATAATAGTACATAATGTAGAGAAAAAGTTGATTGATCTGGAAATGGGCGTAATATTCCGCAATTCTCTTCATTTCTTGCACTTGTTTTCTTTTTAATTGTCACGGGCTATACGGTGGGCTTTATGTAACCCGAAGGAACGTATAGGTATACGACTATTAGTAATATATCAATGCGTTCTGATGATTAGAATTATTTATTGTTGCCAATATATTTTTCTCAAACAAACGCGTAGTTCAGTAATAACTTGCAGTACACAGATATTGGGTAAAATATAATATTGAAAAATACGAGAACTATTGTGTATTAATCAGTCAATGAATTTACAAATATGCAAAATAAATATTGTTTACAGTGTTCGTATTAAATTTATCCGTTCGTTAGTTTGAAACTAAATCACCAATAGTCATGTATTTAGGTTATTGTAGAGGAGGGGAGGAGTAGGTGAAATATATTTTGAAAAATCTTCAAAAATAAAAAAGCCATGTAACAACCATAACAATAATATATTATTAGGCAATCGGACACTACAAATGTTATAATTTATATTTAAAGTAAGGTGCAACATTTAATTTCATAATAAAAGCAAATTGAATTTTATTATTACCTCACGTTAATGATTTCATTGTCTCTCCCCTCAGTTACGTCACTTACTACCAAACTACCTACTTATGATGTTATTTGTATTATTAAAAAAAAAAAAATTAAATAAAAAATTAAATCTAAATATATCAAAAGGCTCTTGGATCGTGCTCCACGGAGCTCCCCCCATCTACCTACTTTCGACAAATTATGACGAACCTATGTGTTAAAATGTCAAACAATTTAGCCGAGTCAAAAAGTATTATTCACACTAAATCAAAAAATAATACGCGAAATGCCTCGTGATTTTTAAGATTTCCATTAAAATTTGCACTTAAAACGCGTATTAAAAAAGACGTCCTAAGATAATGGAGACGAGTGCAGCCACCGTTATAGGTAATTTAATGTATACCTGTAACTAACGATTGCTTACGAAAAAAAGATTCTGAGCGGAGTTCAGTTGATGGTGATTTGTCTACAATATGTATGCCATATTATAGTGAAATAATTATATAAGCTATATATATTTTCTTTACTAATATTTGATTAATGTACCAATTTTCCCGTTTTTCCGATTTTTCAAATTTGTTAAGAAAACTCCTGGAAAAATAAAAAAAATAACTTCTTTAAAGTACCTTTTCAGTCATATTTCCTTTCCAAAAAAGTGCTACACTTAAAAATCGGAGCAAGATCTTTGGTAGAAAAGTTGTACACAGAAATAACAAATAAACATCATTGTTAAACCATAAGCTTCTTCGCTCCGCTCAGAATTTAATAAAACTACTATATTTCCTATGATAAATGTAATGTACACATTTCAAACATTTTTTTCGATATCCACATAAAATCAAATAAAACTAAACAAAATATCAAACACTTATAAATTTCTTAGATCTCCAACATTTATAACGTTTACAAAAGGTTCTTATAAATATTCTATACAAATGACAGGTCTCTATGATTATTGTAACAGAAAACAAAATTTAAAATAATGAATTCGTAATCACCGTACGGTGATTTGACAATTTGTCCGGTTTTTCTATGATTCGTACGTTATATCCGTTTATTAAGATAATATTAGCTGGGAGTAAAATCAAAAAATTACTTTCTTATTGTACCAACTGGCAACTATAGATCTAAAATTCTACAAAAAATCTTTCTCGTCGTCTTTTAATTGCAGCAAGTTTTCTGGTAGGAAAAGTGTTCATAGACACAAAACAAATTTTAAATAAAAATTGCATACAATATACCAACACGTTAATCGCTACGCTCGGAGCTAATGAACATCATTTAAACTTAGCTCCTCAAAATAAATCTTTGCTCGAGGGCCGGAGAATTCATAGTTTTAGTACTTATAGCGTTACACAAATATCGAAAATCCTTAACCACAATTCGTTTCTAATAGGAGTTCATAAAGTTAACATTTTGACAAAAAAATCTTTAAAATCACTTAAAAAACAGCATATTATTTTCCAATTAACGCGGATACATTTCGTTTAACTGTATGCAAATGCTCACCATTTTGACGCCAATAAAACACGGACAATTATTAATTTGTTTTTTTACATTATTGCTGTGTTTAGAATTTAAAATAAATTCGGGCCGAGTCTGTTTCCTGTCGTGGAATAATTTTGTTAAACGAATATTTAAAATCAGTGTTGATTAAAATATTGAAAAATTTGACGAAATAATCAACGAATTGGCATTCAATTTATTTTTTCTTAGCAACATAAGGGCTCAGTGAATAAAAAAAGTTTGAGAGCCGCTCCTCATCTCGAAAAATTACATCTAAGTGATGTAAAACTATGGTAATAATAATATTTTATTGTCTTTTCAGTGAATATTCTACAAATACGAATAAAATTTTGATCCTTTTATTTTTTAATCGTAATACGTTTCGTTTTGTAACTTCGAACATTGCTGATAAATCGTGCATTATTAAGGACTTAAGTATTTTAAAATAATCGTGTTGTACGTTTAGTCGTATCACGCAGATATTAAGGAGCAAAATAACGGAATGTTTTTATCGAAGCATATATTAAACGCAATTACGATATAACAGGTTTGTATATATTTTTATGAATAGGAAAGTTATATTAAAATTAAAAAATAAATATTAATTAAATATTATTCTCAAAATCTTACCCACGAACCGACTAACCTTAACGGTATTCAATAGTAACTATATTAAACAATTGCAATTTAGACTGACAACTTACTTTATTTCATATTATTTCACATAGGAGAGTAAAATGCTAAATACCTAAACATTATAATGTAGACATTGATCATAGTTTAACTTTTAATAACTTTTTTTTTTTTAATTTTATTTTAGGAACTAAGTGTCTTATAAATTATAGCTTATATAGGTATATATTATTACTCTTATAGTGCGATCGCAAGGCTGGGTAAGTAAATGATATTTTATAAATCAGGTAATTTAAGCTAAATATATTTTTTTTTAATTACGTTGAAATCAAGTTTAAATAGACTATTAATTAACCAGTTAAGTTAATTTTTTGAAGAAAAAAAAAATGCATTTATTAGGTATTAAAAATTAAAAAATTTAATGAAAGAATATGCAAATGTGAAATATTACCAATGTATGTACTTTAAAACCATATAGCATTTACAGAACCATATTGAACCATAATTATTATAATTCAGTCTCAGGGATCACTTTTAAAAGTGATTGTTTAATATAAATAATTTATTGATTTACAAAATAAATAACTTAGGAAATAACAAAAAACTACCTACTGGCTACTAGTTATAAACTTTTATTCAAAATATCTACAAATTTTAAAAATAAATAGGTAACACCCAAGTAGGTATTATGAATTTAATGCATAGGTCATGGATATTCATGTCTTTATTATCATGATAAATAAGTTTTATCTGTAAATATAAAATTAAATTCTTCGTAAATATATTATTATCACATTATTTTTATTTTTTAATACTATTTGACGATTTTTCACATTCTAGTTACTTTCAAATCTACAAACTTATAATATTTTAAACGTAATAAACAAAATATTTTTCTGGATAATATGAAAGTTCAAAATTAACTTAATTGAGAATAATACAATAATTAATTTAAGTTGGTTTCAGGTTAACGTATAAAGTCAAATTATTTAAGTTAAAATTAAGTTAGTTAATGTAGCAAACTAGTAAGTGGAAATCGATCAAGCATTCAACTTTTAACTCTTTAATGTCCACCCTTGTGATTTTGTAATTATATTTCATAATATTCTATTATAATATATTTTAAATAGAACACTAGTTTGTATTACTTGAAGTTACCCTGGTTAAAAAAATAATAATAACAATAAACAAAAATTAATAAAAAATTATTATTAATTCCAAAATGCAAGTATAAATACTCAATACCAACATAGAAATAAAAAATTCTTCGGTTTTTCGGTCAGATCCCTGTCATTCTATCTATGTTCAACACTTTAGATAACCGCGCGCAGCTTATAGATTTAGTTTTGTAGATTTAGTGTTTAAATACTTCAATTTATTATATTGGATTAATTTATTAATTAGTCAAGTTACTGTATA